GGAGGGGTGATATATGGGGGGATCTGTACATTTATAGGAGGGGGAGGGTGGGAGGGGTGATATATGGGGGGAGGGGTCTGTACATTATAGGAGGGGGAGGGGTGATATATGGGGGGATCTGTACATTATAGGCAGGGGGAGTGGGGTGTGAAATTGGGGGATCTGTACATTATAGGAGGGGGAGGGGTGATATATGGGGGATCTGTACATTATAGGAGGGGGAGGGGTGATATATGGGGGATCTGTACATTATAGGAGGGGGGGGGGTGATATATGGGGGGGTATCTGTACATTATAGGAGGGGGAGGGGTGATATATGGGGGATCTGTACATTATAGGAGGGGGTAGGGGTGATATATGGGGGGTATCTGTACATTATAGGAGGGGGAGGGGTGATATATGGGGGGATCTGTACATTATAGGAGGGGGAGAGGGTGATATATGGGGGGATCTGTACATTATAGGAGGGGAGGGGTGTATATGGGGGGATCTGTACATTAGTAGGAGGGGGGGAGGGGTGATATATGGGGGATCTGTACATTATAGGAGGGGGAGGGGTGATATATCGTAGGGGATTGTACATTATAGGAGGGGGAGGGTGATATATGGGGGAGATCTGTAATTATAGGAGGGGGAGGGGTGATTATATGGGGGGATCTGTACATTATAAGGAGGGGGAGGGGTTGATATATATGTTTGGGGGTCTGTACATTTATAGGAGGGGAGGGGTGATATATGGGGGATCTGTACATTATAGGAGGGGGAGGGGTGTGGTGATATGGGGGATCTGTACATTATAGGAGGGGGAGGGGTGATATATGGGGGATCTGTACATTATAGGAGGGGGATGGGGGTGATATATGGGGGATCTGTACATTATAGGAGGGGGGAGGGGTGATATATGTCGGGATCTGTACATTATAGGAGGGGGAGGGGTGATATATGGGGGAGGGGATCTGTACATTATAGGAGGGGGAGGGTTTGGTGATATATGGGGGGATCTGTACATTATAGGAAGGGGGGAGGTGATATATGGGGGATCTGTACATTATAGGAGGGGGAGGGGTGATATTATGTGGAGATCTGGGCGCGTACATTATAGGAGGGGGAGGGTGATGATTATATGGGGGATCTGTACATTTATAGGAGGGGGGTGAGGGGGATAGCTGATATATGGGGGGGAGGGGTGATCTGTACATTATAGGGAGGGGGAGGGGTGATATATGGGGGGGATCTGTACCCATTTATAGGAGGGGGAGGGGCGATATATGGGGGATCTGTACATTATAGGAGAGGGGAGGGTGACTTATATGGGAGGATCTGTACATTATAGGAGGGGGAGGGGTGATATATGGGGGATCTGTACATTATAGGAGGGGGAGGAGGTGATATATGGGAGGAGCTGAGTACATTTATAGGAGGGGGAGGGGTGATATATGGGGGGTCTGTACATTATAGGAGTGGGGGTTCAGGGGGTGATATATGGGGGGATCTGTACATTAATAGGAGGGGGAAGGGGTGATATATGGGGGATCTGTACATTATAGGAGGGGGTGGGGGTGATATATGGGGGGATCTGTACATTATAGGAGGGGGGAGGGGTGATATATGGGGGGATCTGTACATTATAGGAGGGGGAGGGGTGATATATGTAGGATCTGTACATTATAGGAGGGGGAGGGGTGATTATTTGGGGGGATCTGTACATTATAGGAGGGGGTAGGGGTGATATATGGGGGGATCTGTACATTATAGGAGGTAGGGAGGGTGTATATATGATGGGGATCTGTACATTATAGGAGGGGGAGGGGTGTGATATATGAGGGGGATCTGTACATTATAGGAGGGGGAGGGGCAGATATTATGGGGAGGATCTGTACATTATAGGAGGGGGAGGGGTGATATATGGGGGGATCTGTACATAATAGGAGGGGGAGGGGTTGATATATGGGGGATCTGTACATTATAGGAGGGGGAGGGGTGATATATGGGGGGATCTGTGATTTAGGAGGGGGGAGGGTGATATATGAGGGGATCTGTACATTATAGGAGGGGGAGGGAGGTGATATATGATGGGGAATCCTGTACATTATAGGAGGGGTGAGGGGTGATATATGTAGGAGATCTGTACATTATAGGAGGGGAGAGGGTGATATATGGGGGGATCTGTACATTTATAGGAGGGGGAGGGTGATATATGTCGGGATCTGTACATTATAGGAGGGGGAGGGGTGATTATTTGAGGGTCTGTACATTATAGGAGGGGAGGGGTGATATATGGGGGGGATCTGTAACATTATAGGAGGGGGGAGGGGTGATATATGGGGGGATCTGTACATTTATAGGAGGGGGAGGGGTGATATATGGGGGATCTGTACATTATAGGAGGGGGAGGGCGTGATATATGGGAGGAGCTGTAACATTATAGGAGGGGAGGGGTGATATATTGGGGGGTCTGTACATTATAGGAGGGGGAGGGGTGATATATGGGGATCTGTACATTATAGAGGGGGGAGGGGGTGATATATGGGGGGTCTGTACATTATAGGAGGGGGGTGTGATATATGGGGGATCTGTACATTATATGAGGGATAATTTGGGGGTGGTTATCTACGGCAGGGGGAGGGGTGATATATGGGGGGTCTGTTACATTATAGGAGGGGGAGGGTGATATATGGGGGATCTGTACATTATAGGAGGGGGAGGGGCGATATATGGGGGATCTGTACATTATAGAGCAGGGGGAGGGGTGATATATGGGGGGATCTGTACATTCTATAGGAGGGGGAGGGGGCGATATAATGGGGGATCTGTACATTATAGGAGGGGGTGGGGTGTATATATGGGAGGATCCCATCTGTACATTATAGGAGGGGGAGGGGTGATATATGGGGGTCGTCTGTACATTATAGGAGGGGGAGGTCGTGGGCAGGTATCTGTACATATATGGGAGGAGCTGTACATTATTTAGGAGGGGGAGGGGTGGTGATATGGGAGGACGCTGTATATGGGGGGGGTTCTGTACATTATAGCAGGGGGAGAGGGTGATATATGGGGGATCTGTACATTATAGGAGGGGGAGGGTGATATATGGGGGATCTGTACATTATAGGAGGGGGAGGGGTGATCTGTACATTATAGATGGGGGGGGTGATATATGGGGGATCTGTACATTATAGGAGGGGGAGGGGTGATATATGGGGGGTCTGTACATTATAGGAGGGGGAGGGTGATATATGGGGGATACTGTACATTATAGGTAGGGGGAGGGGTGATATATGGGGGGTCTGTACATTATAGGAGGGGGAGAGGTGATATATGGGGGGATCTGTACATTATAGGAGGGGGGCGATATATGGGATCTGTACATTATAGGTAGGGGGAGGGGGCGATATATGGGGGGTCTGTACATTATAGGAGGGGGGTGATATATGGGGGATCTGTACATTATAGGAGGGGTGATATATGGGGGGGTCTGTACATTATAGGAGGGGGAGGGTGATATATGGGGGGTCTGTACATTATAGGAGGGGGGGTGATATTATGGGGGGTCTGTACATTATAGGAGGGGGAGGGCGTGATATATGGGGGGGTCTGTACATTATATGGAGGGGGAGGGGGGTGATATATGGGGGGATCTGTACATTATAGGAGGGGGAGGGGTGATATATGGGAGGAGCTGTACATTATAGGAGGGGGAGGGGTGATATATGGGGGGTCTGTACATTATAGGAGGGGGAGGGGTGATATATGGGGGGATCTGTACATTATAGGAGGGGGGGGGTGATATATGGGGGATCTGTACATTATAGGGAGGGGGAGGGGGTGATATATTGTAGGGATCTGTACATTATAGGAGGGGTGAATATATGGGGGGTCTGTACATTATAGGAGGGGGAGGGGTGATATATGGGGGGTCTGTATATTATTAGGAGGGGGGAGAGGGGTGATATATGGGGGGTACTGTTACACTTTATAGGAGGGGGGGTGATATATGGGGGGTCTGTACATTATAGGAGGGGGAGGGTGGTGATGATATAGGGGGGTCTGTACATTCATAGGAGGGGGAGGGGTGATATATGGGGGGTCTGTACATTATAGGAGGGGGAGGGGTGATGATATATGGGGGGGTCTGTACATTATAGGAGGGGGAGGGGTGATATATGGGGGGATCTGTACATTATAGGAGGGGGAGGGTGATATATGGGGGGTCTGTTACATTATAGGAGGGGGAGGGGGCAGATGAAGGCACGTTCCCGATGACAGCACCAATATAATGTAATACACGTTCAATGAAAAGACGACAGCCGGGCTCTTTATGTCACATAGACAACTCCCGTTCCAGAATCCAAGATGGCGGCAGCGGGATCGCATATAGTGTAGTGGCCTGTGTTCAGTCTTCTGCCCTACTAGTTTCGTCAGATGACGTCATCAGGGGTTTTCAAGAGGTGACTGTGGAGGGGCCCTCATCACACTTTTTCCCCCGCCATGTAGCGATAGGCGGCACGTCAATGTAAGTTCGTTGAGCTATTTACCGCCGCTCCCCACAATGCACTGCACCTTGACCATGCATTGTGATTGGCCAAAGCATTGCACCGGGACCTGACCAGGTGCAATGCTTTGGCCAATCACACGGCATGATGACCTCACAAGGGGTTGGGGGTGATCATCCTCCTCCTTGTGATGTAATCACCCCAACTGTCATTGTGGTGAGCAGCTGTCAGGAGGCGGGAGCCAGCATTGAGGGCGGAGCAGATTGTTTTTTCTTTTTTCGGGTTGGCGGTTGGATCTACTCCGGGGGGACAATTGTTTTATTGTTAATAAAGGACTTGTCAGAGGCGGTTCTCCTGTCACTTCTCACTAAACTTTTGTTTGTGAATGGGTACCCCATACTCATACACATGGGGGGTCGGGTCTGGGGGCCCCCTTGTTGTGCAAGCTCTCAGGAGCTCAGTGACTCCAAACGTTGTCCCATGATAGGTGGCCCACCTGTGCAAGAAGTCCATCGCCCTCCCAATCATGTGATTCAGGTGTTCCAATCCCCTCCACAATCATGTGATTCAGGTGTTCCAATCCCCTCCATATCATGTGATTCAGGTGCTCACAAACCCCTCCATATCATGTGATGATTCAGGTGTTCCAATCCCATCTCCCAATCATGTGATTCAGGTGTTCCAATCCCTTCCATATCATTGTGATTCCAGGTGTTCCCTAATCCACTTCCATATCATGTGATTCAGGGTGTTCCCAATCCCCTCTCCATATCATGTGATTCAGGTGTTCCAATCCCCTCTTGTCCAATCATGTGATATCAGGTGTTCCAATCCCCTCCATATCACGTGATTCGGGTGTTTGGTGCCAATCCCCTCCCATAGCATGTGATTCAGGTGTTCCAATCCCCTCCATATCATCTGCAGTGATTCAGGTGTTCCAATCCCCTCCATATCACGTGATTCGGAGCCTGTTCTCCAATCCCCTCCCAATCATGTGATTCAGGTGTTCCAATCCCTCCCATTTCATGTGAATGATTCAGGTGTGACATGTCCAGTACTAGCGCAATCCCCTCCATATCATGTGATTCAGGTGTTCCAATCCCCTCCATATTCATGTGATTCAGGTGGTTCCAATCCCCTCCCAATCATGTGAGTCCGGTGTTCCAAACCTATCCATATCATGTGATTCAGGTGTTCCAATCCCCTCCATGGACACAGGTGTATACAATCAAGCCCCTAGGCATACAGACGGCTTCTTCAAACATTGGTGAAAGAATGGGTCGCTCTCAGGAGCTCAGTGGACTCCAAGCGTGGTCCCGTGATAGGTGGCACCTGTGCAATTAAGTCCATCCGCCCTCCCGGTCATGTGATTTACAGGTGTTTCAATCCCCTCCATATCATGTGATTCAGGTGTTCCAATCCCCTCCATATCATGTGATTCAGATGCTCCAATCCCCTCCATATCATGTGATTTCAGGTGTTCCAATACCCCTCCATATCATGTGATTGAGGTGTTCCAATCCGCTCCATATCATGTGATTCAGGTGCTCCAATCTCTTCCAATCATGTGATTCAGGTGTTCCAATCCCCTCCATATCATGTGATTCAGGTGTTCCAATCCCCTCCATATCGGGATTCAGGTGCTCCAATTTCCTCCCAATCATGTGATTCAGGTGTTCCAATCCCCTCTATATCATGTGACTCAGGTGTTCCAATCCCTTCCATATCATGTGATTCAGGTGTTCCAATCCCTTCCATATCATGTGATTCAGGTGTTCCAATCCCCTCATATCATGTGATTCAGGTGTTCCAATCCCCTCCATATCATGTGATTCAGGTGTTCCAATCCCCTTCCACATCACGTGATTCAGGTGTTCCAATCCCTCCACATCATGTGATTCAGGTGTTCCAATCCCCTCCATATCATGTGATTCAGGTGTTCCAATCCCCTCCATGGACACAGGTGTTGTATACAATCAAGCCCTAGGCATGCAGACGGCTTCTACAAACATTGGTGTGAAAGAATGGGTCGCTCTCAGGAGCTCAGTGACTCCAAGCGTGGTCCCGTGATAGGTGGCCACACCTCGGGCAATAAGTCCATCCGTGACATTTCCTGGCTACTAAATATTCCACCAACTGTTAGTGGGATTATAACAAAGTGGAAGCCAATGGGAACAACATACAGCCACTCAGCCACCAAGTGGTAGGCCACGCTCACATGACAGGGCGGGGTCAGCGCATGCTGAAGGCGCACGGTGCGCAGAAGTCACCAACTGTCTGCAGAGTCAATAGCTAAAGACCCTCCAAACTTGGTGTGGCCTTCAGATGAGCCTCTAACAACAGTGCGACTAGAGAGAGAGAGCTTCATGGAATGGGTTTCCCATGGGGATGTATACCGAGCAGCTGCATCCAAGCCTTCCATCACCAAGTGCAATGCAAAAGCGTCGGATGCCGTGGTTGTAAAGCACGCCGCCACTGGACTCTAGAGCAGTGGAGATGTGTTCTCTGGAGGAATGCCAATCACGCTTCTCATGGCGCCACTGTCTGGCAATCCGATGGGATGGATGTGTCTGGGTTTTAGGGCGGTGGCCAGGAGAACGGTACTTGCCGCATGACTGCATTGTGCCAAGTGTAAAGTTTAGTGGAGGGGGGATTATGGTGTGGGGGGTGTTTTTCAGGGGTTGGGCTTGGCCCCTAGTTCCAGTGAAAGAAACTCTTAAGGCAACATTTTGGACAATTTCACGCTCCCAGCTTTGTTGGGAGGAGTTTGGGGATGGCCCCTTCCCGTTCCAACATGACTGCCCACCAGTGCACAAAGCAAGGTCCATAAAGACATGGAGGAGCCAGTTTGGGGTGGAGGAACTTGACTGTCCTGCACAGAGTCCTGACCTCAAACCCCATAGAACACCTTTGGGATGAATTTAGGCCAAAATGTATTCAGCAAAAATCCCAATCAGTGTATATTGATTTGTTCATCTACAAACTCGCTCGGTACGTATACTGGAATGTTTATTTCTATACTAATGGCAGTGATCAACGACTTATAATGGGACTGCAATAGTGCGGCGCGTGCAATCTGACACTGACTTATCCTTAGGGGAACTCATTAAATGCCACTGACATCACCAGTGACAAGTGATAATATGGTACACTGTCACTGTACTAATATATAAACAAAAAGGTGCAGCGCTAGTATTGGAAAAAGTGAAACATCAACATCCATTCAATTATAAGAATAGAACAGGTGAGGACATAGAATCGTATACTCGTCCTACATATAAGTTCGATGTTCAATTAAATGTCCAAAAACATGTGATACGGTGCAATGTGCCAAATCTGCCAGGTCCCCCTATCAAGGTGAATGATCCAAAAGTGAGCAGGAAATAAGTAAAGTGCGCACTCACCCAGAAGTGCGTTTAAAATACGCATGAAAGAAGTATCCTCTCTCCTGGTGCGTCTAGGTTCTCCCCACTCAGATAAAAAGCTGCGCTCACTAGTTCTCACCGATCATCAATCCTGGTTAGGTTCAATGGTGCATCCGACACTCATACACCTCTGGAGTCCCTCCTTAAGACTTGGTGCGCAAACATGGGGTGGATGTCCAGGTGCTGTAGCCCCCCCTGACGAGTTTCGTGCTAAGCACGTTCTCAAAGGGTGCAGGGCCCTAGCGGCTCTTTTTCATATTCTTATTACAGTAAGCGCTCGCTGTACAACTTATTTCTAACTTTGTCACTGTACTAATGACACAGGCTGGGAAGGGGTTAACATCTAGGGGCAATCAAGGGGTTAAATGTGTGTCTAACAATGTGTCATGTGTGTATTATGTGCTGCTTTTACTAACAGGTCGATTTATTCCTCATCCCTGTGTAGCACCCTCCTGGACAGCTACGGGGAGCTACACTCCAATTATTAGCTAGGGCTGGGAGTAATACCTAGCAGGGGGTCAAAATTGGTTCAGGGCTGAGAGGCTCTGCAGACAGGTCCCCCAGCTCTAGAATTTTGGAGAAAAAGTCTAGAAGTATTTGGTGGATTTGAGGAGTGCCTTTTAGAGGATCCTGGAACATCCCCAATAGGAGGCTTGGCAAGGGGCCAGGACACCCTTTAAGAGTAACAGAGCCTGCCCAGCAGCTGGAGAGTTGGGGTGGAAGAGAGATGTGAGGGGCTGGAGGCAGGAGCCTGTGAGGGGTCCCAGACCGAGCGGCAGGTGGAGGACCTTGGAAGGCTGAAAACTTGGGACTTCTCCGGCCCCCTGAGAGAGGACCACCTGTGAGGCAGTGAAGGTGCCACCTAGCTAGAAGGTCTGGTAGCAGCCACGACCCATGTGAGGCATAGGAGGGGGACCAAGTGAGAACTTCTACACCCCCTGGGCCAGATAGGGGAAGGACCACTCTGGTGGGAAACTGGATTAGCTGGTACCCTGGACTGTTTCATCATTTAAAGTGACAGATAATGGACCCCCTGCCCAGGGACAGACCCAGAGCTGCTGGATTGAGGAGGATCTGAGGTCTGGCTTGGTACCTCAGGAGAGGCTGCTAGCTGTCCAGAAGAAGATTTCTGCTGTAAGGACTTTGCAAGTTTTATTATCCCCAAGTACATCGGACTCCAAACTATTGCCCTCCAGCTGTTCACATACTACAAGTCCCATCATGGCTCTGCCTTGGGAGTCTTCTCTGTGGCTGTCTGAGTCTTGCAATACCTCTTGGGACCTGCAGTCCCTCAACACCTGCAGGGCCGTAGTCTGGAGACCCCTGCCCTAGTAGAACATCAAAACAAGCTCAAGGACTGGTCACTGTCTCAGGTTCAGTTCACACACCAATGCATTTTTTTTGTGCTTTTTTTCAGAAACACACTGCAGTCCATTTAGTATGGTTTCCTATGGAACTCGTTCACATTGATGCTTTTTTGAGCCGCTGAGTTTTGGAAAGAGTCGGGGACTTTTTTTCAAACACAAAAAGCAGCCCTTTACCTACAATAGAGTTCAAAGCAGAAGCTCCTGAAATGCATGGTAGTGCGAATTTTGCCATGTTTTGCATTTTTATTCTGTCAAGCAACAAAAAAAAAAAAAATAGATGAACAAAACGCATCAAAAATGCATCAAAAACGCGTATAGAAAACGCAAAACCAACAACGAAAAGCACTGGAAAACGGACAAAAAAGCAAGATGCGTAGGTGTGAATGGAGCCTGAATGGAAAATCTGTGTTACGTGGCTGTGCAGGACTATAGTAAGGACTTTAGTATATCCCCCCCTTATGTATTATACATGGAGATCATATCCCCCCTTATGTATTATACATGGAGATCATATCCCCCCTTATGTATTATACATGGTGATCATATCCCCCCTTGTGTATTATACATGGAGATCATATCCCCCCTTGTGTATTATACATGGAGATCATATCCCCCCTTGTGTATTATACATGGAGATCATATCCCCCCTTGTGTATTATACATGGAGATCATATCCCCCCTTGTGTATTATACATGGAGATCATATCCCCCCTTTTGTATTATACATGGAGATCATATCCCCCCTTTTGTATTATACATGGAGATCATATCCCCCCTTTTGTATTATACATGGAGATCATATCCCCCCTTTTGTATTATACATGGAGATCATATCCCCCCTTTTGTATTATACATGGAGATCATATCCCCCCTTTTGTATTATACATGGAGATCATATCCCCCCTTTTGTATTATACATGGAGATCATATCCCCCCTTTTGTATTATACATGGAGATCATATCCCCCCTTTTGTATTATACATGGAGATCATATCCCCCCTTTTGTATTATACATGGAGATCATATCCCCCCTTTTGTATTATACATGGAGATCATATCCCCCCTTTTGTATTATACATGGAGATCATATCCCCCCTTTTGTATTATACATGGAGATCATATCCCCCCTTTTGTATTATACATGGAGATCATATCCCCCCTTTTGTATTATACATGGAGATCATATCCCCCCTTATGTATTATACATGGAGATCATATCCCCCCTTATGTATTATACATGGAGATCATATCCCCCCTTATGTATTATACATGGTGATCATATCCCCCCTTATGTATTATACATGGAGATCATATCCCCCCTTAGGTATTATACATGGAGATCATATCCCCCCTTATGTATTATACATGGAGATCATATCCCCCCTTATGTATTATACATGGAGATCATATCCCCCCTTATGTATTATACATGGAGATCATATCCCCCTTATGTATTATACATGGAGATCATATCCCCCTTATGTATTATACATGGAGATCATATCCCCCTTATGTATTATACATGGAGATCATATCCCCCCTTATGTATTATACATGAGATCATATCCCCCCTTAGGTATTATACATGGAGATCATATCCCCCCCTTATGTATTATACATGGAGATCATATCCCCCTTATGTATTATACATGGAGATCATATCCCCCCTTAGGTATTATACATGGAGATCATATCCCCCCTTAGGTATTATACATGGAGATCATATCCCCCCTTAGGTATTATACATGGAGATCATATCCCCCCTTAGGTATTATACATGGAGATCATATCCCCCCTTAGGTATTATACATGGAGATCATATCCCCCCTTATGTATTATACATGGAGATCATATCCCCCCTT